GATAATTAAATGAAACGAAGTGTTTTGGCTTTCAAAAAAAAAAAAAAATTTTAAAAACAAAGTTCAAGTTAGTTTTTTACTGTGATAATCAAGATATGTTAGAGTTAGAAAAGCTGCAAGATTTCCAACAAATGTAAAATTTATGACAAAATTTTCTTGACGTTACATTGTTGTTGTAAGGGCCTGATGAAGAAGCCAACAAGCTTCGAAACGTTGCCAACTTCACAAAAATAAACAAGTAAAAACCTTCCGACTGAAAGCCAAAACACTTCGTTTCATTTAATTAATTTTTTCTGTGAAGGTTGTTTCGCTGTCAAATGGAAAAAAATTATTTATCTTAATTTCGGAAATGCTGCTAATAACATCTTGTTGGGAAATAAAATCTTCTTGATTCCTTCATAAACGTTGTGTGAAAAGATTTCAAAATCATTCCGATTCCTAAATTAAATTCCCAGAGGCAAAGCGTTTTCAGCATAACTTTTTGCTCACCCTATTGAAATTGTTGTTAATAATAACAGAATTTTTCGTCACTTTCATGATTGTTCTACTTTATTTGATTGTAGTCAATCCCCTTTCTGAGCATTAGTCATCATTGATAATAAAATTTTGTCACAATCTTCAATGGTGACGTTATTTAATATTCTCTCTGAATATATAGTATTGTCACAATACTAAATATTGTGATACTTCCGAGAAAAGCAATGGATTTTGTGCAATAATTTTTTATTAGATTCAATGAGCTTATTAAAAATGTGTTAATAAGATAGAACCTAAATTTGCAGCTGTTTCATGAAACATCAATTACGATAACTCCCTTTTATATTTTGAAATTACAATCACACGTAAAGCTGTTTTAAGACATATTTTATTAATTCTTTAAACTTCTAAATGAACACACCATACACAGATTGTATATCTGAAAAAAATTAATTTAAAATATTATAACATAAATATGAATGTCATAATAATATTTTCTTTGATAGAAAATGGAAAATAATTTTGTTTTNGTTTCGGTTAACCGTAGGTTAACCGAGTTTCTTCGTTTCGGTTACTAGGTTAACCGGAATCTGAAAAATACCGGTTAATTAACATCTATAATCACGACAGCGTTCAAAAATGAAGTTGATATTCGTAAACAATTTTTTTTAGTATAGAATAATTCACCGACGAAATAATCATTTACTTATTCTTAAACTCTTTTCAACAAAGGTTTAAATATCTATATGACATTTGTAATGAAGCATGTAAATTTCATCATTACTCAAAACCGTCTCCCATTTTTAAGCGAAAACGATGTTATAAATTTTCATTATTTAATGTGACTTGTGCGTTATATTTGACAAACACATATGAATTGCGTTTCCTTCATGGGTTCATCGTATAAAATTTACAACAGAAAAATAATTTTGACTCAGAACAGACTAGAGCTGAATTTGTTTATTTAAGTTTGTATATAGCTTACAGAAAATTATTCAAATAGAATTTTAATGTGAAATTTCTGAAATTTTATTTATCATCAAGAATGAAGAATCATTAAAAGCTTCTTTTTATTTTTAGGAGAGAAGAAATTGAAAATGTTTCAGAAATATGTATTCCCAGTAAAATGAAAACAAAACTCAATAAATTTTATGTGATTATTATTATTTTAAAGAGTTTCTTCAGAAAAAATTAAATATTTAGATATAAAAGTACGTAAATTTGACGCAAGTTTAAATCTTTAGGTACTGGAAAACTTACAGCAGTTTAAAGCACGCTCTGAAGATTTTTTTTTCTTTAGTAAAAGATATGTTTGAAACATAGTAAGTTCTTTATAAAGTTTTGAAAAGAAAAAATTAAGTAAACTATTATTGTTTTGAAGTTTTGGTTCATTTGATAGATGATATATCTACGTATTTTTTTTAATTTCCTTACCTGATGACCAGAACAAATAGTTCCATTTGGTATCCTAGCTCTAAAGGGACTATGTACAGGACATGATGTACGGGGGCCCCACCGGGAGGGTCCTGGTAATGGCACTGAGTTGAAATTGTTAGGCTGACTACTGCAAGGATTGCATAATGGTGGTGGTGGCAATGGGCCGTGCAGAGATGTCATGGAAGGCCCATGTGCAAGGGGAAAATGAGGCATGGGTAATGACATTCCGCTGCCATGTCCCGGTCCCGGGCCGTGATGACACATCGGGCCACCACAATTTGGTATTGGCCATTGTCCACCACTATTAATTCCTCCACTATTACAATATGGATCCACGGTGAAACTGTCTTGACTACCAGAACATTTTAGCAGTAATGTAGGTGGTGGCGAGGGTTTTCGCGAGTAAATCTTGGTTTAAAATTCGAAAGTATTCGTTGCTTATTGATCTCACCGTTTTTTTATGTTATATGGTAAACCCACACGGTTATCGTTTTTGGAAAATTTTTATCTGAATATTTCACTGTTTCCTGTGATCTTTTAGTGAAAGTTAAATTTATATTCTTTTTTTCTTTCGTTATGTAATCACTTTCTAGTTTTCCTGGTTATGTTAATTGATTGATGAAGTTGCGTGCTAATAAATTATAACAAGTTTCATTTCGCATTGAATTTTTTTTATGTTATCACTTCTCCTGACTCTCGCTTAGTCTGATTTTCAAATATTTAATTTTTATCGACTTGATTGCTTGTTTATCCACCCTTTATTCAAAAGGAATTCCAGTAAGAGAAAACACGTATATTCCTTTCTTAAATTTTATGTTTTCTTCGTAACAAAATGTTTATTTCTCAACGTTTATCATTACTTCAACGAGAGCCTGATGTATCCTGTATGATAACTGAAAAGTTTTTATGTCAATCAAAATTTTGAATTCTAAAATTATTTAAATAGCACTTTAAAAAACCTAAAGTTTCCATTTATATTTCGTATTAATATTTTCCTTTAAACCTAAAAACTTTCTATAAGGTCGTATCATAAAATAAGTCATTTCAACTGAACGATATTTTAGATTTGAGAACAGTTTTTTAAAAGCTGTGGTTGATGTATTTAATCATTTTTCAACGTATGTTCTTATTCATATGCATTTTAAGTAGTTATTACATTAACTACAAAAATATCTTTCCATGTCCTAAACTGACAATTAAACCAAAACAATTGTGGTTCAAATGTGGTTCAAAAATTTCCAAGCATCTAGCTTATTAGAATAAGTATTTCTAAGAAATGGAAAATGTATATTTGGCGACATTTTTTAATCCACTCTGTGACCGTAAGAAAACAAACGAAAAAAAAATCAGATAAAGTCAACAATCTCTTTCATTTCAATTCTGTCTGCTGGATTTTTTAAATAAAGGTCACAGCGACAAAAGCCAATTGTGGAATTAATTTTCAAACAATGATTCCCCAGCCAGATTGAGTTTTAATTAGAAGCATCCAAGAAAAGCGAATGCAAAGAGAAATGTAGCAAGAAACTTTGCTTCACCATAATTTACAACCAAGCTGGGGCACGAGACGTTAGCAAAGCGAAATTTTCAAACCGTACGGGATAATTGAAATTAATTATCGATGAAAGCGTCTCATATATTTTAAACCCCTCCTCTTCCTTATTCTATGACTTAATCCTTAGGTGGATTTTTTTTTATTTTTTCTTGTAGGAAACCGGTAACAGCGCTGATTGTAGAGAAACAGAAAGTAAAATACTTCGAACCCTTTTCTTTAATTAATGATGCCCAATACCTTTTCCAAGATTTTTACGCTGAGCGCGTTTGCAACGAGAGAAAAGGTTTCACTTCCCTCTCTCAGTCTATTTAAAACAAAGAAAAAATGGTTCACGGAACAATTTTGAATCAAAAAAATCAAATACAATTATTTCTTAAAGTTTCTCGTGGCATAATAGAGAAACAAGTCTTGCTCAAGAATTGTTAGAAATGAAAAAGCGAGAATGATTGGGAAAATTAAAGGAAATTTATCATCTTCTATCAAGTACTTTTTGTGCTCGCCTAAGCTCGCTTTTAACTGTTCGGAGTTGAACATTTTTCATTTCGCGTCGTTTTTGCAAAGCTCGTAACCCTCCCAACGGCAATTTAGATTCGGTACAAATATCTACAACGAACAACAATCTCTTATGTACGTAACAGAAAATGAAAAGAATATTATCACATATAGGCCCCGATTTTACCTTAAACACGAATGTTATTTGATTCGATGGAAAGAAGCAAATTTGGTATATCAATTAAATTAACAAAGTTATAACAAATGGTCGATTTTTATGTTTTTTTTCCTCTGTTATTTTTCTATGTTTTGATTCATTCAGATGACAGAATGAGGTTGGGTGTGTGCTTAACGGCACGAGACTCTCATTATTGCCTTACCACTTCCACAGAAAATCTCCCTGTAGGCAATGTTTAGAATATAAAGTCGCATAAGGTCGCTATAATGGAAAATTTGAGACACAAAGGACGCAAGCAGAAAGGAAAAATATATAATTAAATCACTCATCTTACACAATGGAGCACCTTTTTTTTTTTGAATGGATACCCAAACACCCTTGTTTTTTCTTCATACACAACGATAAAATTTTTCAGTCTCCTCGGCTACAACATGATACAAAAAAGACGTTTCCAATTACCCATACATTTATTTATTGTTAGTTGTGGAAATCCTGCTGACATAAGACTGATGCTAATGCTTTATGGAAGATTTTAAATTTTTCTTGCGGAAAAATCTTAAGGAAATAAAAATAAATTTAGATAGAATTTTATTCCTTTTCCTTATGTTTGTCTTCCAAGTTGAAAGTTAATATAAGAATCCGACCCTGAGTATTGTCAGACACAGGATTGAGCCGACAAGATGTTTGAAGGGGAGCCAAGATAGAGATGTTGCCTTACATAACCACTTTTCCGCTCCTTTGGCAATTGTCACTCAAATTTAATCTCGCATCTTGTTGCGTGTGTTTGTCATGTCTTGTAGGCAATAAAATCGAGAGACAGCTTTACAAAAACCGGGGAGCATGTGTGCGATGAAATTAAATTATCCTTTTCAAACTCGCAATCCTGGATTTCGCCTTCAACAGTTCAATGGATATGAACTTTTGTCATCCTACACGCAACTAAATCAACTAAATATTTAAAAAGACGCCATGGCAACTAAGCTAAGGACGAAGGTTTCGAAGTGGAAAGCTTTTATTACAATTTCTATCCATGCGTAAATGAATAGAAGAAAAAATCTAATGAAAGTAAAAGAAATTATGTTATTTGAACACCAGGTGTGCGTTACGATATGAAGCGAACCTTTTATCACTGATCGTTCTATAAGGAAATATTTACAATAATTATATTCCAAAGACTGAATATTTAAGAGCGACAAATGAACTGGTGTATCGAAAAGACTTAGCTTCCCCTAATACCACTTGAACGAGCGTTTGTGAATGTGTTAGTGCGAAAGCCGCTTAAAGGAATTTTTTTTCGACCATTGTTATCATTTGATGGAAGGGACAAGAGTTCCAAAAAGCTTTTATCCACTAACAAATAAAAGCAATTTTAGTTTAAGCATCCTTAACTACTATGTTTGAAATAACAAATTCGAAAATTATGCTCAAAAATAGTTTCTATCCAAGTCTCGCCCAAATCTTTTGTGCTTCCAAAACGACAATGATGTCTGCTTTTGATGACTTTTTCCCAGTTGAGAAATAATTTTATCAAGGAGACGAATAGAAGAAGAAAAAATTAAAAGGAATTTATGAAAAATAATTAACTCTCAGATCTCATCATTTATTATTAGATGGACTTTTATTATGCTTTGGTTGCCAGTAATAATTATTAAACAGCTGGCAATAAAATTTATTTTCAATTGAAACAGGTAATTTTTTTTTATTTGATCAGCAAAAAGATTAATGTCGCAAGCACATTTTGCAAATAGCTTTGCTTATTGAAAAAAATAAATAAATCGGTAAATCAATGCTATCGAAGAGAAAAGAATCGTCGCTGGATTATTTAGAAGACCTTGCATCCAACTAATTATTCACGAGCACATGTGGCGACTGTAGCAATATTTTCATCAAATATGAGTGTGGGAAATATTTGGCGTTCTTGAAACATTCCAGATGCTATCATAAACAACAATGAACGTGCCATGTTTCCCAGCTTTTCATTTATTTTCGCTTCGATCAGCAAACAATAAAGAGAAATTTCAAATTCAAATATTTTCTGCCACCAAGGAAAAAAAAACTTGAGTTACGTCATTTGTTTCCAAGTTTTCTGTCAGCCATTAATAGCAACTGAAAATTATTACTGAACAATTTTAGGTTTTTTAATTTTTCTAAATGCCATAAATTAAAAAACGGTATGTCATAAATTCTTCTCCAAATAACTAAACAATTGAAAACTTTGTGAACAAACCATAAAACTTTCCTTGGATATTCGCACATTTAACTGGCCCAAGGTTTCGGTATCATAAATTATAACAAAAGCATCCCACGTATTGAGCACCAATTTTGTCTCTATCTGTCAATACGTTTTTCTCTAATTAAAAGTTTTAATTTTGCTAGAAGTTTTGTACTAAATCAATTAAACTAAGAGCATTTATATCAATATCAAATGTTTTAGAAACGATGAAATAATTTTTATAAATATTTTTGTTAAGCGGTGAGTACGAGAGTGAAATGAAAGAAAATCAGCTCTCTGTATATGCTCACACATAATTTTCGTGCATATATTTGCTCGACAGCCGGGAGAGAGAGAGCTTTAATATTAGGCTAAGTTTGAATCGAGATAAACCCACACATATTAAACAGCCAACAAGACACAAATTTTACGGAAAAATTTAGAAAATCGATAGTTTGAAACTATAGAAGAATTTAAGTCATTAAAAAATCAAAACAAAAGCTTAAGTATCATCAATATTTAAAGATTTCGACAGATTTTAACAACTTAATTGAAGAGTTTATGCATAATTTAGAGTGAGCAATCTTGACATCCTTAACTTTTACAGTTCATCCACAAATAATTTTTTTAAAAGTCATCAATCAATTGTGTATTGTGAAAAACCAACCCAACATCAAATGTGAAACTAAATTATCAGTCAATTATTTTTTTTCGTATTTATGTACATCATACATGTATCTAAAAAATGAATGAATCAAATTTTATCCTATTTCATTGGATACAATTTGCCAACATATCGATCAAAAGCTTCATTCAAATGGTCGATGAAAGTAAAACGAGACCCTTGATTCACACATTAACTGAATGATGGAACATTTTTTTTTCTTCGTCACGATATGGGAATGATTTTTTTTCTATTTCGTTGAGCCTAAATTTTCCACCTAATACAAACAGCATTAAAATGATGATGGTGTCTGTGAAGTGAACAGCAAACATTTTCTTTTCTTTTCTCTCAAAAAGTCCCGCTTTTCCTACGCCCGCATTCGTCTTTCGTCTCGATGAGATATCAGTGAAAAATAAAAGCGGAAAGACAAGGGACGAAAAAATGTGAAAATCCTTTCAATATATTATTGAATTTCTATGATATGATACGACCGATCCTTATACCACCCTACTATTTATCTGTGAACGTCTCGGAAAGCTTTAAGATCTTTTTCAGTGCCTTAAAATGGTATGATTCTTACTGTGGTTAACTTTATGTGTTAAACAAGAGTTCTCTTCTCTGAGCTGTGTCTTCTTTATCCTCAGCAAAAATTTATCGCCATTAATTCACAATTTTTCTTTCACTACGTTCTTCACTTGTTTGTTAGTTATAAAAGGAAAAGCAAGGAAAAAAATTAATTTACGAAGCGAACATAAGAAAAAGTGAATGAAAAAAAATCGAATTGAAACTTAAGAAACGCAAAAAATACGGCAAAAAACTTTTTCTTGACAAGTTCAAGTCTTGTTTTATCGTCGGAAAATTTCTTTAGCCATTTAATTATTTACACTAGCATTGTTCCAGATTGAAACTTTTTCATGCGCTTTCCTGTTTTTTTTATTCTTTTATTTTTGCTTAACTTTTTTTCCAGCACTTTGGGAGTTCAATTTTTTGCTTTTCTATTTTTTCTTCTTGTTATTTTCTCTTATCAGATATAAAACACTGCACGAGTTAACCAGTTTCCACCCTTGTATGTTAAGGGCTCACGTTAGACTGAGAGCGTTGAAGTCATTTAGACGATTCACAGCGAGATACAACTGGTACTGGACCTGATGCTAAAAACATCCTTTGCTTTATCAGAAAAACATTAGATTGAGTGAAAAACTCAGAGAGAATTTGAAAATGATGGCCGACAAAACGCTGGAGATATTCGACGATTTCCTTGCAACAGCATCAGAGAGAAATTTTGCGAAAGAAAAATTGAGAAAAGTTTTAAATTTCTCTGAGAGTTGTCGAGGATTTTTTCATGTGGCAACAGCATCACTAGGAATGTATTGCGCAATCGTCTCTATTACCAAGATAAGAATTCGAATGAAAATTTGCAGGAGAAATTTTCTTATTCATCGCGAATTTCAAGTAGGGATGCATAACGCACACAACAAACAACATTGCGATGGAGTATGATTTTCACTTAAACGTAAAGGTGAAATTCCTTCACATCGTCGAGGCTTTGAATGATACCTGATTTCAAAGCATTAAAATTGATTTTTTGACACCTACACGACACCCAATAAGAAATAAAATAAAATGAGATATTTTCTATGAATTTCAATCGAAGAAATACTTATATTTTCATAAAAATCATTAAGTTGATGCTGCATGAGCAGACACCATTTCAATGAGAAAATGGAAGGGAAACCTTGGCATCGTTACGGGTCAAAAACGTATCCTTGACATCGACATTCTTTTCTGACATCTATTCATATAATTTCACATAAATATCTACACATTACAAAATGAAACAAAGAGCAAGTTTTGTTTTGAAGTTGCTGCTTTCATGAAAATTAAACGATAAATTTGGGATCTATTCTTAACATCAGCAGCCAAAAAATTACTTCCTGGGAATATATTCAAACTTTTTCTTATGCAATCCAAACATATTTTTATTGACTTGTTTTCGTCTTCTTAACGTTGCTTTGTTCAGTTGAAAACATTGACAACAACATTTCTTCTACATTAGATAGTTGTTTTAGGCAAGAAATTCCGCAAGCATTTTTTGTCTGTTCCTGGATCAACAAAGATATCTTACATTTACAAATACTCGTCATACGATGGCAATCAATTTAGAATGAACACATATCTTGTGACGGGTGCTTCAGGAATATTTTATCTTTTAATATTGTTGAGGATTTCAAATAACTGACTATGCAACTTTCATCATTAAACAGTGTACCAACAAGTTATGAGCTTTTGCATAAATAGATTAAATTCTATATTATGTTTGAATTTTGTATAGGAACAAACAAAACACATTGATACGCTCGACCCAAAACAATTACTAAAGCGTATCATACAATGACCCAGGGAATTAGATTATGAGATTTTAATTTTTCCCGTATTCGATTATGCCCATGAGAAATAGCGGAATATAACAAGACCCAGTTTTCGCTAACGATGTTAAAATATGGACGGTGTTTTATCTAATTCAGTTTACCTATGGAATATTCGTTAGGCTCTTACGAGACCAAGTCACTCTCCAATGAATGATAATTAAGCCAAGAATGCTGTGTCACTTTCAGTCATATATTTTCTGTTTGAGCACCTTTTGTACTCATCCTTCATGCCAATTGAGAGTAACTTTTCAAAATAGAATAAATTGCTTTTTTTTTCTCCTCAATTTCATTGTGCACTTTTTATGACACAAATGATATAAAAGCTGCGCTCATAAAAATCCATCGTAATTGTTCAGAAACAATTTTCATGAATCAATGATCTTGAAAGTGCTCATTGAATCTTTCATCGTCAATTTTTGCTACGTTTTTCTTCTCTTATATTATTCTACAGTATTTTACAATAAAGAAAAGAAATACTCTAACATAGAAATCTAAGGATTCTTAACATTCACCTACCCTCTTGCTCATCGTAGGAAATCGTTTACGACTTTTTATTCGTTGAAAGAACCAATGAAGGTATTTTCAGTGAACGAAACTTGTCGTTTCTAATTTCTAGATCTTCATTGCATTCGTCGCGTCATTTGTTTTAAAGAATATAAATTTAAATTCCATGTCTGAATTACTTTCAAAAATGTGGTGACGATAATTCTGCCAAATCAGTTTGAACAGCACTTCGCTAAATTTATTGTTTACTTCTTTGTTTGGATCTTTGCATCAACAAAAGCAGTTACTGTTTAAGTAACAGTCACTCAATGTAACGCAAAGTGTTTTCGTAGCGATTTCACTCCTCTCAGATTCCTTGTTCTTTTTGAGGGTAAAATGTTCCGCTTGCAGGCAACAAATAGCTTTTTTCTTCTTTTTAAATTTCCTGTTTTCTGTATTGTTTATGGATTTCTCTTTCCATTTTTTCATTTCTCTTTTCCATTCCCGCCTACAACATTCACTTCCTTTCACAAAAACCACCTCGTTCGATCAACAATAAAGAGTCTTCCACAAACAACCGAAATTCATTACTGATTCTTTGTCTTCTCCATCCACCACTTTCCTTTTTATGTATATCCAAACAGAATTGAATCACAAATGATGCTTAAATCTTAATGGAACGAGTGCTTACTTAAGAACCGCCGTACTTGCTACTAGTTAGACATAATTTTCAAATACCGATGTGCTTAGAAAGATAAGCAATCCGTAGATTGTGCGAAATGTTTATCAGGAAATATAGGAGAAGTAACAAGGCTTAGGATATCAACAAGAAAAAGATAAATGAAAAGTCTCGGATTCTTTTAATTGAATACATTTGTTGATCAATCTGATTCGTGTTCAAGAAGGTGTCAAAATGAAAACAACTGAATTATTATTTTAAAAAAAATTAAACTTTTTATAATTTCCATTCTGATTCTTTCTCATTGTAACAAATCAATGACGAAAAACGGTGAGGAAACCACGTAAACATTATCAATAAAACAAATTTTCACTTCAATTGGTAGAGCATGGTAGATCCTGTTTCTGTTTTGCATATTTCTCCAGCAATTTTTAAAGTTGATTTTAAGAAATTTCTTATTTTGTCATAAACAAATCAATCAAACATGAAGAGAACATTGTAAAAAATCACGAAGAAGTGTCCACTTCTTTTACACTGATAGGCGTTCATTTTCAATATTTTTTATATTTTCCTCGTTGTAAATGTTTGTAGGTAAGCGACGAATACCCAAATTGCTGAATAAAAAGTTTTCCTATTTATTTTTAAATCTGTACGGGACCATGACAAAAATTCAATTTTTCGTTGTTTCTATTGATACGATATCTCTAATTTTAAAGAATGCAGACAAACAAACTCCAGAAATCATCGATATTATTGAATGATTTCATATGCTTGAAGTAATAGTATGGATATGAAATCTTTCCAACTTCCAACCCTTAAAAATAAAATGTACAAAAGTACATTTTGTGTTTGCTAAGATGAAAGCTACAAGGTGGAAACATTACACGTTTTTTCTAGTTTATACAATAAAAATAAACTTGATGAAAAACGAGATAAAGTTCCAGGAACATGAGTTAGTATCTATCTTGACCTATTTGGTTTCTTAGGAATTTTCTGTTTTTTACGATTTTCCTGAATATTTGTGAAGATTATAAACCTCTCTTTACTCTGAATCTCCATTCAATGTTTTCATTCCTTTTTCTTCACATATCGTTTCTTTGTACAAATATTTTCATGTTGAAAATTCCTGATTCTGCTTGGCTTCTGTTTGAATGAAAATCTTTTCCCCTGTTATCATTGTTTGATATTTTTATCTCTATATGTATACCTTGCCGAGTGTTGTGTTCATCTTGGAAATAAGAAAAGTACATTTTTTTCTCTCTCGTCTTCAAAAATGATTGAAGATGAATAAATAGATAAAGAGGCTATTCATGTTAATTCTTTCAAAGTTGTAAGGAAGGAAAAGAAAAAAACTGCAGGATAAAAAATATTGTTAAACATTTCTCTATCATAAAATATTTAATCGATTGGAATAAAGTGTGTGCTCTCAAGTTTCTGGGTTTGTTCCATCCCAACTTTATTCTCTTTAAATTTATTTGTTAGCTAACATTTTTTTTATTGCTGCGTAGGATGTTCGAGAAGCTTCCGCTTGAATTTTTTAACCAAATGAAAGATACATAATACTAAACAGTTAAAATCAGGGCTCGGAATTAGTATTAAATTTTATTTCCTAATTTTCCTTTAAATGGCAAATAAACAGTGTTTTGTTTGAGATTCTCTAAAAATCCATTGCTTTTCTATAATCCTCAAGCTTTTTATTTCAATTCTTAGTCCTGGGTTAAATATTTTAATAAGAGTCGAAAAATAAAAGCACCTAAATATAAAGGTTGGAAATTATATTTTTTCACAAAATTATAATTTAATAAATGTAAATAAAAATAAACCCATGAGGAAGCTCCTCTTGAACCATCCCAATAGAATTTCTTTTTAAATACCGTAAGTTGTTATGAAACTTGCTACAAAAACTGAAACATTAGCATTAGTAAAACGTTAAAAATGAACCTTTTTAAATAATTAATATTCAAGTACATGCAGAATTTTTTAGAAGCCGCAAACTTGAGATTTCTAATTTCATTTCAACACAACAGAGAGAGAGAGGGAAATGAAAGCACATAGAATCTAAGTATGTATTTCTAAGTCGTTTATATATTTTTTTCGTGTATATATAGTATAGATATAATATGGTATTTATCAAGTACAGCAAAGCGACAATTTACTGACAACAAGGAAGCGAAACAAAAGAAAAAAGATTGCTGAACATTGATTTGTTTCCCCCGTGACGAAAGTTTTCTTCGCTTTATATGACGTTTCAATTGAGAGCGAAACAACATCAAGAAATTTAATAATGTCTTCATTTTAAGGTGAAATCAGTGGCACTGCGAGTTTCAATCAGTACAATGGAGTTAAGTTTCCCCTAAAGTATCGCAGTCACTGTAACAAGCAAGTGAAAAGATTTTCAAACAAAGTTGACAATCTTACATCTATCTCAACAGAAAACAGAAAAAAAATAAGAAAACGAGGGAGAAAGTTTTCGATGTGACTTTATTCCAAACCCATTGTAGGCATTTCAAGCTTGATGAGATATGTCAAGCAATTTACTTCTATTTGTATCATTTAAT